ATTATTCGACGATATTCACCTCGTCTTCGGCGAATAATTGTTAATTATTCTATCACAGAGGTGAGACATACCACGAATACTTAAAGTCTTATGATGGCATTTGATAATACGCACGAGCATTCGTCACAACTTTCTCAAGCAATCAGATTCGAAAATGTTACAAAAAAGGACATTTTAGGGTCCGGTTTGGAGTTGTGCATCATTTAATCGCCTTGTACCTTTTCCTCATCCCGCATCAGGAATAGTTACGGCTGAAGAGAAAGTAGCTGCAACAACTCCTACACTTCTTCAATCAGATCAGACCACAAAACTCGAATATAATGCAATTTTCAGTGGATCGTCGTTACGGTGGAGGGATAGCTGAGGCTTGCAGAGGCTGTCACGACTTTCTTGACGTTTGTCCTTCTGTCGAGCTTTCCAAATAGCTTCAAACCTAAATACGATACGCGATCTTCATGGCCACCACTCCGTTCATATTAGTTGTCCTTCACATCATTCTCACACATGTTAAATTCGACTTATCATGTTTATTTATCGGTGGTTTACTGTGTTCGTCCACATTGATCGAAATCAAGTCGAACTAGTATTTGGAGAGTCCACAACATATTTAAAGGAAAAGGGGCTCCAGAAACGAGTTGGCGACAGAAAACGCAACCAATACTTGAAACTCAGCGGTCAAATGTTTGCGCTTATACGAACACTCTCGTGGCTACTAGAACGTGCTTAAAGCCAAGTTGTCCTAAAGGAGTTTTTAAACATCTACAGGATTCGAACTGAATCAAAAGGGTACACGCAGTTAAATGAGTAAGCTTCGTGTTCGAAAAACCGCGAGTTTCCCTTTTCCCTACTTTGTTACTTTTTACTGATTTTGTGAAGGTTTTAAATTTTTCGCTGATGTTTTTGAAATTGGCTGTTTCTAAGTAGGGCGTACATGTTCTTCCTTTCTTTCTTGCCTTAATTCTCCTCTCTTTCTTTTCTTCTCATTTTCTTTTTTTTTAGAGAATGATTTATCGGTTTAGTCTCGACGGTCATTGAAAGACTAAAGTCAATGAGTGATCTGATCATAGTTTCCATCCCGCTGGTTTGTAGGATCGAGGGAATGAACGACAGCAAATGCTTCTCGCCGAACCATCATTTTTGTGCGAGGAGCACGGGTTCCTTTCCGAACAACGGTTATTTATCGAGTAGCCGATGTGGCCCAACCCACACAGCAACGCTTTACTACCCTCCCTCCCATCTTCGGTGTCGAAAATAGCTGGATACGGTGGACAAAGAAGAGTCACCAACTCCTCTTCAAGAAAGCCGAAGATGTTGCAGTTGTGCGTGGATATTGATCACGGTGGAAGGATGGGTGAAACTCATCGAGACGATAGCGACTTTCCTAGCGGCTGTTCTTACGTTTAGCTACCCCTTCTACCACTACAAAGTGGAATGCAAGTATAAAGTCGCAGTAAGCACATGTGCGTTCGTCTTCGTGGTCCTGCACATCATTTTAAAAAGCGTCCACTGCTTCGAGAAGGTGATGCCACTGCTTGGAATGATCGGATGTTTTCTCCTTTCGGTAGCCTTAGCCATTGGCTCCGGAATTGTGTACAACAAAGGGAACACGCATTGGAAAGGGGAAATATTGATTGTATCAGACGTTTGGGGTTTCGTAAAAGCTAGCTGCTGGTTTTTTCTTCTGTGAAGCGATTTTTACCTCTTCATCCTCGTTTGTCGCCAATCAACACCGTGCCGTGATGATTGGAAGACTCTAACTGAAGAAATTCATGGTCCAGCAGAAGATCCTGTGGATAGAGTGGCTTAGCTAGAATTAAAATATTCAGAAAGAATTAATATATACGGAAAGATACGAAAGCTTCGATTTAGCCATGGAGGTGGTAGTTACGAGATATTATCTCTCAGATATCTAGAATGTCTGAGAGAACCAAAGTAATATATCTTACGTAAGTTTGATGAAATTAAGTTTTAGTTCACAACAACCAATATTTTGACTAGATCACCTGACACCCGTTAAGTATTTTTTGGTGGGTTTTCGTGTGTTCCTATGTTGTAGTTCTACTTCAGTTTGAGTAGATGGTATTACATTAAATGATTAGGATTTAACAGACACAGTTTCCGTTTTGGGTTGGTTGCTGCAGTTTCAAGCCTAGCTGGTTTTCATTCAGCGACGCAACCACATGCACAAGCACAACAGCTGTTAATTCCGTAGGATGCCTGTGGCAGTCCGACACCGCGGAAATAAGTTTTTTTAAGGGCACGATACAATACTTAACTGGTCAGCGGACACCTAAACGAAACCTTAAAATGCCCATAACTTTTACAATGTTTTCGCCGAGTCTAGTCGACAGCGTAAAAAGGCAAAACTTAGAGAGAATACTGTAAACTTAGCTTTGAAACTCGGCTCACCTTTTGGATAGTTCTTATGCTCAATTTATATAATTTGCCAAAGCCGAACTGAAGTTGCACGCGATATGAAATTGTTGTTTTTGGCAGGTGGCGAGTCCGTGGCAACTAAGGTTTTTTTTTTTTTAAAAGAGCTAAGGCTAAAAATGGGACGGTTTTTGAATGGCTGAAGCGGTGATCCGAGGGCGCTGCATAAGCAGGTTTGTAAAGCAGTGGCTTGAACCGTATAAATCGGCATGTCAACGGTTTTTCGGTCAGATCCGCTGAGAAGACAAAACATGCCCATGTTGTTCGACTCAATAGGCACTCGTATAAATAGCACGACCATCCCATCCCCACTGGGGATAACTGGCTCAAGTAGAGGAAGATGAAACCGAGGTTTGTTTTAAGTACAAAATGTCCATTTTAATGATAACAAATTAAGTTGTCACTTTCCACCTTTGCAATTGCTTTTCTGAGCAGCAATTATTTTACTTTCTCAACAAGCATCTTGTTTCCTATCACAAGTATGAATAATTTGTAGCATGTCTTTTTTATGCTACTTTTCCCTCACTAATTATTATTTTTTTCTTTCTTTTTGCTTTTTCGTCTCTTTCTTACTAACCAACTGCCATCTGCAACATAAAATATGCTGATCTAACAGAATACTCCTGGCTCATTTAGCTCCCTGACTCACAAAGTAACATCACCATCTTGGTACTAGTAGAAAACAATTTTTTTTAATAAACAACAGTACTGTTAAGTAAAATAATTATTATAATATGATTTAATTGATTTACATGAATAAAGCACTGTATTGTCTTTTTCGAATTCTTGTATTGCAACAGCCTTGAATGAATCAACTGTCTTCTAGATTTGATTTCTTATATCCAGACGCTGAGTCAGGGAACAAAGAACTGAAAGAAGTAGGTATATCGCGCTATCAGTTTATATTACGATTAACAATAATATTGCAGTTAGCTTTGTAGCATTGTAAGTGTCAATTTTGGTGGTATTTCCAGCACTAAAAATGTTGCAAATATTGTCCTTAATCGATTACTAGTACCACAATTTATTAGTTTTGAGATGTTCCAAGGCCTCCCAAGGGTTTTGAGCAGCGTAACCTGACGTACTTGCAAACTGCGAAACTACTAATTAAAAGCCGCTACTCCTGGGGCCGATGAAAATTGCCAGATCTCGTAGACAAATATGACTTGATCATTCAAAAAGAGGCTTATTGCTACTGAAGTTGTAATTGTTATGACGCAAACTGTACACAATATCAAACACGAATAAATATTTAGGTTTACAAGACGAACCATCGTCGAGAGTGCGTTGGTGCATGTTGAAAAAAAAAAATAGAAGATTATATCTGTCGTGTATGGTCATCATTGTCTCAAGCAAGGCTGGTGACGTCTATAAATAATAACATGCACTTGATCAAAATCATTTTGCTTTGTCTGGAGAGCTATGTAATGATTAGGTTAAGTGTAATTAAGTGAAGTGATTTTGAATGAATTACATCCAGAGCGACGGATTTTTCACATGATCGCGAGGAGATCTGCTCGGAATAAACTAGAACAAAATGATCGTAGCTTATTTAGGATGAGAAAATCAGAATTAAAATTGCCAAAATCATGGACAGATTCCGCAAAATTATCCTCACGTGCCTTGTAAGAGGGAGTCACGCTTACTTTGTATGACTTCCTGTACCGTCACGTGGTCTGAAATGAGCAAGAAATTAAATAGGCAATAAAAAGTTGAGATCTAAATAACAAAAATACCAAAATTAAAAATTGAATCCTAAAAATATTGAATAAAATATTGCAAGTGAGAGCCACAGGACAAGGTATCTTATACAAAATAATCCTTAAACAGAGAAAATAATAGACAAAAATGACAAAGGATGACCAAACATGTACAAGAGTCGACACAAGAGTCATAAAAATAAATTTAATGTAATTTTGTTCAGCGGTTATCCTTGATTTGCTCATGCGGGGGAATTTAAATAATGGCGCACGCGCTCAAACTTCCAAGCCGTGCATAGCGTGCACCATTCAATAATATTAAAACTTTTTTTATTTGTGTCCGCTTTCATTGAAAAGCGAGATTTCCGCTTATGTTGTATGGTAGACATGCGAATAGATGATTCCACGGTTACTCCCACTAGGGACGAAGATAAGGATATGATTTTGACCTCTAGTTCGGAGACAGCTTTGAACAATTCAAGCGTACAAGCTCTTGACTGTGGAAACAATTGCTTGAATGGCATTAAATGGCCGCCTGAACATCACACAAAGACTACGAGTAGCCGAAAAGAAGATACTACCTTCAACGATTTAAAGCTTAATCCCTCCTTAGTTACTCATGGTGGAAGGGTACTAAAAAAACCTGCACGTTATATGGAATCTGACTCCGACGAGGGAGCAAGTGCGCGAAGGAAGTTTCCTTCAGTGAAGAAAAGAAAGCGTCTGCTCTCTGATTCTTCGCGTCCTAAATGTAAAAATGGTAGAACAAAGTCTCTCGAAAAAGATTCTTCTGATCTATTGTTGAGTCATAGAATTAGAGGAAGGCTCCTGTCGCCTGAGCGGCAAAACGGCGAAATTTTAGACTTAAAATACGAGTTGGACCTTGGATCGACGCCTGGCATGGCGAGTTCTTTGTCAACATCTCCTCCTTCTCGTACTCAGCCAGGTGAATCTGTTTGTGTGAAAAGTACTACAAGTGAGCTGCAAACGGAGTCGGAGAGTTCAAATTCCTTCGAGACACCTTTGAAACGCAAAAGAGGTAGACCTCCGAAAAATCTAACACAGTCTTTAGGGAAATTACATTCAGTTGACATTCGTTCGAATTCGCCACATGGCAATTGTGAAACAAGTGCCACGAAAGCATCTCTCGCGTCACCTTCAACTTCAAAATTTGGCAAGAAAAGAAAACGGTCGAAAGGCATACGCTATTTGCAGGAGAACTGTTTATCGTCTAGCAGCGACGAGAATGAAAAAACGCCGTCAACTCCCAGGAGAAGGGGTCGACCACCGAAGAAATTGTTGTCGAGTTGCGAAACAAAACACAAAATATTCAGGACACCGAATGGCGTTAAAAAACCTTGGGTGCGGCCGCTTTTGAAAGCTGTCGACAAACGTTCTTTCGTGAAACCTTCTAAGAAATCGCTGGACTTAATGCTACCTTCACCGGAAACGTTCGTGACCGGGGTAAACTCTAAGTTCGTTGGGGTTAATGGCTGCAGAATCCTCTCGTCTGGGAAGGAGGTTAAACGCAAACGTGGTCGCCCTCCAAAGCCGAAACCCGAGCTTTCTTTTGAATCAGACAATATTCTAAGTGATGCATTTCATTTTACTGGAGAAGACGAACAGAGCGATGGTTCACCGACATTGAAACGTAAGTTGAAGAAGTTGAAGCTTCAAAAAAAGAACGACAAAAGACCTCTTGGCACTTGTACTCTCAAGAAGAGAGAAGTTACGGAAAAACTCAAACGTAAGGTCGTGAGTAAAGACAGAAAAAACCTTGAGGTAAGAGCTCAACCTAATGTTGCTCAATCTGACTATGAGCCATTGGTGGAAACTAAAGAAAATCTCCATAAACGTAGAAGGAGAAACAAAGCTGATAGAATACTTGGAATGAGACGAAATCTCTCTGGGACATATGAATATCTAGTGCAGTGGAAAGATGGAACTAGTTCATGGGCTCCATCGGATGAGCTATCCGATTATGAACTGGACTTCAAATGTTTTCTTGGGCATGATTACCAAGACATGACAGTTGTAAACAGACTGGCGTACAAAGCATATTGGAAAGAAGACTTGATTGAATACCATAGGAACCAATGTGAAATTGATAGATTGGCTGCAACTGATGATGGGCACTCGGTGCATGTTAGCTCAGAAGAGCATTACTTTGATGGACAAATTAATGATTCAGATCCTTGTCAAAAACATTACATCTGTAAAGAGGTGTCAGTGCAGAAATTAAACGATTGTGTTCATGTAACTATCAGTCGCTCTTCCAGCAAGAGAAGCAAAATCAATCAACGAATTGTGGACTCGCTCACTCTTGTCATGGAAGATGCTGCTATAGATGAGTCACAATTTGTCATCATTAGTGGCTTAGGAGAAGAGACTTTCTGCGGAGTCAATCTCAAAGACCTAACGCAAGTTCCTTGTGAGGAAGAACTGAGACATTATAGAAGAGATGTGGATAAAGTCAGGTAAGTGAAAATACCTTTAGATAGCTCATAATTTAAAGCTCTACACTAAAGGACTTGCAACAGTAAAATCTTAGCAAAACCTTCATATGTTTTACCCACTTCTTTCGCCCAAAAAAGTCTTATGCATTTTGCTGAAATTGTCCCTTCCATACAGTTTTATTACATCTTTTTCAACTAGTTGTTGAAGTCTAAATGTGAGAATCTTGGACTTGTGCACATGCTTGATGACCTCGACACTGAACAACCAAACTGTTTAACTGTGATCTTGTTTGGAGTTCAAGAGTTAAAGGTGGATTATGCACACTCATTTGAATAATATTTTGGCAGGTGTATTGGGTAAAGTTTTTGTAACAGTATTATGGTGATATCTTTGGTATGATAATCAGCTCAGGTAAATGGCCACAGAAAGGTTTCCACAGCTTCCCACATCAAAAATCTTCAAAAGGTTAACTAGTAAACAATTTTTGTTATTGTGACAACTGTTTTGATTAATGGGGAAACAAGATTACACAGAATTAAAGTCTTTACATTCAAGGGTCTTTTTGTCCAAGTCTTCCAGTCCAAAAGTTTTTTCATCTAATTGTTAAGTCTTTTCTCAAAGCAAATAAATAACTTAGAAGATTAGATAAGGCCTAGATAATTTCCTTATCATTTTGGACTATGTTGTTGGTTATGTTGGACACCCAGGGATGTTACACTTAGTTGTGTATTATGCCTAATAGGCACTTAATGGACCTAAGACTTTAGATGAAAAGACTTGGATGAAAAGACTCTTGGACAAAAACAGTAGATACTGTTGCACCATAATATATTCCATTCACTGGGTCTTAAACCCTTTTATCCTAAGATCTCGTTAGTATTTCTCCTTGCTGTCTGCTATGTACATTTCTTATGATTTTAATTTGGAGAACTAGTTATTGGACCATCTAGTAATCCCCTAATTGATATTTTTCTTTATCTCGTCACTTGTCTGCTTGGATTTTGAATTTGAATTGTGAGGAGAAATTCTGTCTGCAAATGTTCTCTGAGATGTAATATAGGTGCTTTAATCCAGTAACAGACAGCTGTTTTTCAGCTGTCTAAGAAAGGTTGTTGTCCTCTTTTTTTTTTTTTTTGACAACTTATCTCGAAAGAAACAGCTTAATACAAATAGACTTGTTTGAGTCCTTTGTGACCATAGCAAGAAGTTTAAAGTCCTAGCATTACAAATTTGTACTAGTGTACGATTTTGTTAACATTGTGTAGTTTTGATAGAATTTAAAGGTGCTTGTGATATCTTTTTGAGCATAGCAGCAGAGTAAGTGATAATTTAAACAAACACAAGATAATTTGGTTTTATCATCTGATTGGGTCGATAATGTGAACTGGTGACCTCAGAGGGATTCCAAAGCTGAATTTTTAAGCATAATAACTTTGTCAGAGTCTGTCCTGGATTAAAAAAAATTAAGACTAAGGGTATAGGAGTGGCAGAGCTTAGATAACAATTGAGTAAAGGGAGTGAGTTTCTAATAAAAGAAACTGTTCTGTTGTATTGGTGGGGGATTTTACAAGGTGGCTTGGCCCTATCACCTGAGCTGATTCTGTAAATTGACCACTGTGGAGAGATTCTAAATGTGACATTTCCAGGGTTGGCACTTCGTCAAAGCAAATTGTTATTGTTAACATGTTTATATTTCACCCTGTTATAGATATTTGGTGCAGGTGTTAATTGACTTTCCAAAGCCAGTGGTTGCAGCAATCAAGAAGCCAGCGCTAGGACTGGGTGCAAAACTTGTTTCTCTCTGTGATTTGGTTTGTGATGAGGTGAGTTGGTAAACAAGAGTGTAGTCGCTTTACATTCTTACCCCCAGAATATATATTCTTGTAATACTGAAATACATGTAACGAGAAAATATTTCATGATGAGGATGATTGTCTCAGTCTGTTGGTTCTGATGCTTACACTGAAGATTTTCTCCAGGTTCTTCCAGTTTCTGCCCTCTTCCATCAACACCAAACCAAACTGCCTTTCATCTTTGAAACAGTTAACAAAGAGCCACATTGTAGATGTGTAATTACAAAAATTTTAGATTTATTATTAATTTTGTAACATAATTTCCTGTTTTTCAGGCTTCCCTTGGTGAGCCAGTTGCTCTTCAGAATGTATCCAAGGGACGGGTCCCTTATGGTTTTGCAAAGCTTATGGGACATACTTTAATAAATGAACAAATTCTGATTGGGCACAAAGTACCCACTTCTCAACTTGATTGTCTACATTCAGCATCTGAAGTCTTCAATCACACACGTTACACAGCGACAGTTTCAGCCTCACTGAAGGCTATGAGTCTTCCAAATGGAATGTCTTATGATGACTGTATGCAGACACATCCTGCTGCAGACTCGCTGTCAGAACTGGAACAGCAGCTTCTAAAGGAAGAGAAGAAGGCGAGGAATGATTGCATTGAAGAGATGAAAGCTTTGTGGAAGGAGGTTCACTCTCAACAGCCACTGGACATCTAGGTACAGCTACATTTGTGTAAAGTTATTGGAAAAAAAACTTTTGTGCAGCCCTTCAGTTATGGAATATAAAAATTTGTAAAGTTCTAGCTAGTAGGATTTCATTGATGCACGTTGTAAGCATTCTTGATGCCTGCTTCTGTTGTTGTTTTAATTTACTTGTTTCAGCATGCTGTTCTTGCAAAAAAAATCACCTCTCCATTTGTAACTTTTGCAACTTTTTCATACCACTTGGTAGCAATTGAAATCCCCTAACTGCGAAATTTTTATCGTTTGGTGTGTGTTGAGTATTTTTACCCAGATTACCACATCAAGTGTCTCGAAAATCCTTTTTGCAAGACTGTATCTCCACAACCTAGCAGGCAAAAAATAGATTAGTTTTTTAGTTTGCTTTTGCAGCTTCATTAAAGTAGAGATTTGATGTTGTATTCTGTGGAAAAGCTACATGCATGTAAATTTAGAGATATACCAAAAAGCCTTGATAGAAATTAGGATGACATGTCTTGCAAAAAACAATGTGTTGAGTATTTGTGTATACATAATATTTTTTCACTGGGAGTCAAGTGGGGTGTTATTTGCTTCTTGCATTACAATATAAAGTAAAAGTTGCCAAGTCAAACAAGGAACTATTCATTTGTTGAAGAGAATTGTAAAACAAAGAACATCCATTGTCTACCATTCCAACTCTGCTGTCAACTCTCTTTAAACCAGACACCCTATGATGCTCATCTTTGAAAAAGAAAAAAAAAATTGAATGGGAAATTGCACTATTGATGTTTTTGGTCAGACTGTACTTCAAGAGCCATTTAACTCGTAGAAGTGATTAACATGTAACTTCTCCCAATAATATTTATAAATTATTCAGAAACAAGTAATGAGAATATTCAAGCTTATCTGGTAGAAGTCATAAACTTGATCTAACACCAAATTCTCATCTATGATTTGCAATGAAATGTGTAGTATGAGTCGCAGAGAACTAATAATCAGATCATGCGAGTTAAAGGAAATAGCTCAATTTGAAATAGGTAAGGTTAAAAACAATAAGGGGAATTTTTATTAAGTTGTGGTAAATGCTTTGAGGTAGATTTCTTTGTGTATTCACTCAGGGTTCGTACAGGTCATGGAAAACCTGGAAAGTCATGAAATTTAGGTGTGGGTCATGGAAAGTCATGGAAAATCAATATGCTCTGTATGAGTGAAATGCAATAAGACCCAAAGTTGAAAAGTTAACTGACGAGTCCAAAAATCAGATTTAATCTCATTAGAAATAAACAGAAGCATGCAATGTGAGAATGTTCGCAAACATTCTTTCACACAGCATTCTTGTCATGGAATCTTTCAAAAGGTCATGGAAGAAGTCATGGAAAGTCATGGAATTTTAACAGGTCAAAAGTGTACGAACCCTTTCATTCCAACAAATTGGAACTTTGATCGCTAGTTTTTTCTTTTTTTTGAAGGGGAGAAAACTGGTGTACAAGGACCACAACCAAAAAAATAACTTGACACCCACCATGTGGCATTAGGCCAGGGAAATGGGAATCAAACCTGGGACACAAGTGTGGAAGGTCAAGATGGTTTCCCACTGTACACACAAAGAAAGAAAAGTACACTCCTGCAGGTATTCCTTAAAACATTTGGAATGGAGGCCTTGCAGAGAAATTCCCTCTTCCCCTGCCCTCCACTGCAGAAGCAACCATGTCTACTTAGAGAGTGTTGACTGCAATGGGTGCATTAAGGCTAATTAAAACAAAAGGCTTATTATGGCAAGAGCAGATCATTCTTCCCTTTTGTGACTGCATAGACATGTATAAACTGAAATATTTGTAAAGTTATCATTAGGAAAGTTTTGAGGTGAAGTTAATATATACGTGTAATTATGTATATATCCATAATTAGACAAAAATTAAATAGTGAGAGTTTTCCATACATGCTTACAGATTATAAAATTGCAAACACACGCTATTATGATACTGACAAGAACATTGATCCCATTGGAGAAAATTAATTTACCAAATCTAAGTCTTTCTTGAAATTCTCAAAATGCTGGACCCAGCCCAGCCAAATCTCACTTTTTGTTCATTTTGTTAGTCATGTGAATAAAGCAAATTAAGAATTAATGGTACAAGTGATCCCTGCTCTTTGTAGCAACAAATTAAGTTGAAAAAATCCTCACATTCTTTTATATGTTAAATTTATGGAGATTGACAACTATTAAAGATTCTGAACAACAGTTAAGTAAACTTGCTTGTACTCATTGTTTGAGTACGGTTAGAAATCTTTCCTTAAAAAAACTATGAACTTTACTCTTTCACAGGTAACATAGCTACTAGTAGAGCATTTGCAAACTTAAGAACATACCCTAGTTTTCAAAACATCTGCAACAATTCTCAGGCATGTTACACCAATCTCATTGCACTAGCTATCCTGAATCAAGTCATTATTTTTGAGCACTTGTTGTACCCATATCAACAGGCAGTTTACACTGTCCTCACTGCGCTAGCCCTCCTGTATGGAGTCATTATTTTTTTTTTAGGACTTGTTGTACCCATATTGAAAGGTAGTTTATTTGTATTTATGCCTAGTGCTATATTTATTGCATGCATTGCTTTATGTAGTCCACCACACACCGGTCATGGGCAACTTTCCAAATGAAAGGTATCTATATTTTTGTGCATTTTGTGAACTGTTGTGTATAGATAGGTTTTTGATATCATTGTTACCAAATGAAAAAGTTGAAGTATTAAAAGTGAAAGAAACTTGTTTAAACATTTTGCGTCGTTGTTTGTGTTTTACAATATTTAACCCTGACACCCTAGCATCAGTATGCATATTCTCTGTATTGATTTATTTGCATTTTGTAAGGTGTTGACAACGAGAATTTGTTTAGCAATCGAGAGGTTCTTCAGGTGGTGACGGGTTCCTTTATTCTTGTGACCTTAATGTGTGATTTAGTCACTGGTAGGAGTTAAAAGGTGAACTCCTTGGAGTGACCAAGACAGAATTTCTCCTTACAATATCAATACAATATCCAAAAGACATGTGATGAGAATTAAGAAAAATATCAATTAGGAGAATTTCAGATGATCTAATACTAAATTCTCCAAACTACTAGTAACATCATAATTTACTATTTGGCAGACTCTAAGGAGAATTTCAACAGAGAACTTGGAAGTGAGAGGCTTAAGTAATTAAAATCACTTCTTCTCCAATGATCTGTAGTGACTTGTAATTTGCGTCATGCATAGTAATTTTGACTATTTCTGGTTCTTCCTTGAGAACTATTCTCCCCACACGAACAAGAGCATTTGTTTGACCAATTAATGTAGGAAGGAATGCCTTTTTTTTTTTAAAACAGGCTACCTTTTCTCTTCCAAAGAATATTGTACACGAGCAAAGCTAGTATTAATTGTTTGTGTCAAATCTGCTGCTGCATCCTGTAATACGTACTTATTGACAGACTGACCTAGCTCAGTTAATAAGATGTTTATTTTATGGCTGTGTCAAGAGAGCAATGGAACATTATATTCTTTGCAACTTTTTTCTAGACCGGTCTAGATGGGAAAATCTAGACTGCTTTCAATATTGATTTCAGCCAATCAAATTTGTGAATTCGGTAGTTCCCAGTCCTTGTGAGACACAGCCATATAATAAATGTACTTATTGACTGACTAGGAGGGCCAGATGAGAAAATATTTGGCAGCCACATGAGCACAAACAAATTCTGCAATTAAAACATTTCCTATTCTTTTTTTGCAAGTCAGAACAAGAAACTCCCAATTCCTTGAAAAATGAGATGGCTTTTTCTCATTTCTGTTTTCCTTTAGGCTTTTGCAACAAAGCAATGTGAAGGCAAGCAGGGCCAGACAGCTTTTTTGTTTCACATTAACCTGCCCGGCCCTGTACAAGTCAGCTTTCACTGTGGTTTTCTTTGAGATTGCACAAGTGGGGCCAGACGGGTCATATGATTAAAATGTTTAATATTCACATGTAAAACACATTAGGTAAAAAACAGGTGTAAACAGTTCAAAGTTAACTTTTAAATGAAACTAGATGTTGGGACTGGTACTTCAAAACATGATCAAAATAAACCAAGGATAGCATGAATTTCTGTTTTAGTTTCACTTCTAGAAAAAGAGGTTTGCTGTTAAGATTTTTGTTGGCTTCAGTTTTGCTTTACATCCAACACGAAATTCAAAAGTTTGACTTCCAAAACTTTTTGTTTTACAAAACAAAGCTCTGACATACTTAAAACAAAAAAATGAAAAAATCAAGAGTACATAAAAAATGTTAACCCCAGATTAGCTCTACAACTTTCAAACTACTTGCCCTTGGTTAATAAATCACTATAAAATGTCAAAACATACTACTAACATCACAGTTATAACGTATACCGCAGAATCTATAATTTCTTAAACAGTTTGCAGTAGAATCCTATCACACAACCACCCCACTCATTATTAGGAGGATTTATTGTTTTCCAAACAAATTTAAACTTTTAACTTGAATATTCCCTTTGTCTCATTTGCTTTAGAAACAGCTTGATCTTGATAAGAATCTCAACACTATCTGCTGCTCAGTAATTTGAAATGTTAACAAGTGCTGGGTGAAAAGACAACAAGATCATTAAAATATCCTCCATCATTGTCACCACCGCCAAACACAACAATTTCTTCCTTCTCTTTTTCTTCACTGTCTGCAGGTAGGAACAGAGCCACATGCCCTGCCCTCCCTGTGAGGCTTTCACTGGTCTTAACTGTAATCCAAGTTGAAGTTCCTACAATTAGAATTAAAATTGTATGTCCTAGTATTCTTTTTCTTGAGATGAACAACCACATTCAGGGTACAGAGGTAGGAACAGAAGTTTCCTCAAGGGGGAGGGGAGGGGAAGGAGGGTCCTTACAAATAGATCAACCCTAATCTTGATACCTAAAATACTTACTTTTAAGAAACACCACATATCGTAGAACTTTAAAGAGGGTCACACATGATATGCCAAATTATTTAAGCTGACAAGTTGCTGACAGGTACAATACAGAAAAAATTGAACTCACCTAGCTCGAGTACAAACGAGTCTGTAAGGATCTGATTGCCATCATAACCACCATGAATGAAAATCCTTTGCCTGGGGAGAACAGCCGAGGCATGCCAGCTTCGAGGTGATGGAAAGGTGCCAGACAAAACAGGACTAGAAAACTCCATCATTGCTGTATTCAAAACCAAATAAACAAATTCTCCACTTCAGCCAGGCAAGGTTCAAATTTATCATCCACCAAGCACAAACAGTAGTCAAATGCCCATGGGTTGCCAGGGTGGGGGAAGATGTTTAACTTTCAACTGATTGGTGCATTATAGTTGATTTGAAAATATTGAAGGGCCGCAGCCAGGATGAAACATAGTTGACACCTAACACAGATAACAAGTCTTGCCCATTACCTGGACAATACAACATTCTTTTTAACAAATATTCATAATCATTTACATTCTCATTATTTTGAAGTTCATGTCTTTATTTAAATTCTCTCATCGCTTGCTTATCATTCATTTTACCCGTTGAAGACTGCAGTTTGGGCAGTCGAAAGCCTGCAGTTATTTAATAATTTTTGCCGGAGATCGTTTTAAAATTTCAATTATAGTTGATTGTCTGACATTTGACATTTGGAAGTCATGATCAGAGTCAAGTGATGCTAATGATAATGACTTTTACTTAGGTTCATAAGTCAGCCACCTTCTGATGATGGAATGTGAAAACCTGACCCTCAAACCATCGTTCTGTAAACTTTTTTACCCAACAACTGACCAATGAGTAATTTCGCCTTAGAAGATCAATAGTTCAGAAGCAGCATCATCTATCTAGCACACAGATGGTGAAAATAAAGGAAATTAGTATATACTAAAACAGTGGATAGCGTCGAAGGTGCGCTCTGATTGGCTAGTCAAACTACGAATATCCTTTGCTATTTACCTCCGAGCATCTCAGGAAAAAATGGCGTCCTGGTTTGCATCCGTGACAAACGAAGAAATCACTCAAATCAATTTCTGGTGGTGTATTTTATCTCACTGTTTTAGTATATACTAAAACAACTATTCACCTCAGTGTTGGTGGTTAGCGGTGGATATTTACCTCGCCGCTTTGCAGCTCAGTAAATATCCACCACTAACCACCTCCACTTCGGTGAATAGTTGTTAACTATCCACCAATTTTTTTTTTTTGATCGAACATTAAACTCTCAGAATCTACAGTTGAAGAAATGTAGAGCAGATAGTAAGGAAAATAAATATTCACATCATGGGAAAAACAAGTTTATGCCTCATGTAGTCTTGGAGTTTGTATTCTCCCTGCACTTCTGTAACACCCTAAAAAATTTTCCCTTAATTTTCTGACAGCAAACTAACAGAGGAGGAAGCAAAAATTAAAGACTACTTGAGTTGATAAAAGCATGTTAGTCTGAAATCCAATTGTGAAACTCACCCAAGTCAATAACTGAAACGTCATTGAAACATTGCGGAAAATCCCAGCCTCCAAATATAACCAATCTGTCTTCTAATAAAGATGCTGAGTGACTGCAGAGAGAAGGACAAAATCTAAGTTAAGTCTCAACCAACAAATCTCTGCCAAAAAAAGCTCTTACTTCACCCTGACAGATCATAACCTGAGCTCCACATAAAGAGTCACAACAGAGTTCCCTCCATTCTCAAACTCATCACAACCAAAGCAGTACACAAGCCTCAACTTGGCACAATAAAGTGTTATAAAATTTTAGATCTTTCACTTTCCAACATTCCCCCCCTCCCCCCCATAGGGCAACCCCCTCGGTTGGTTTATTCAAATCTTTTCCCCAGGGAAAAATTGCATTCAAATGCCCCACTCAAGCACAATTTTTTACTGATAGATTCTTTGTATGATCAACACATTTTATAGAATTTTCAAAGTCACATATGAAGGTAGTTTTTGGTGCTACTGTTTTTTCTTTCTTCACTTGTAAGCATCATTCTACAATATGAAAATTTTCTTCTTAACCACTTTCCCACAAAAGCTGACTCTTTACCTTTAAACTCCTCCATATTTAAAATTGAAACATGACTGCGTAGTCTGCAGGTTCAAATCCCCACCCCACCTAAGCAAGGTTCAAATAAGTGGGGGGAAGGGAAGGGCACGATGTTGAAGCTTCAAATTGCATAACACTCCAATCAAGGTGATTGGTCATGCTTTGGTCCCTATATGCCGATAAAACTCATGGAGTAAAAACACCTGCATTGCATTACTTGCATCATATGTAAGACTTCAACTTGACCATGAAACAATTATTCCAATTACCCTGATTTTGGTTTGGGTGGGGTTCCTCTCGTGATTGGTTTGTACCAGTTGTTTGATCCTGTGTTGAAGATATAAAGCTCATTACTACAGCCATCGGGTTCTGGATCAGGGTTTGGAAATACTCCACCAAAAACAAGCAGCTCCCCATAGAAAAGGTTACAGCTATGATATGCTCTAGTGGGGGCATTACCAACTGCCTGAAAAAGAGAGAAGATATTTTTTTTGCAGTACAATGTGTTAGAAAAGTTGCCAAGAAATTTAAGAGTTAAAGATCATTTAATGCAGTTTGACACCTTTGATGCAAGCATTTATCATAAGAACCTGACCAAATGACCAGCAGAGAAGCTAGAAATTTTAAATTGAATCACTGTGCATGCCACCTCAAAGTTTTAACCTTTGTTTGAATCTTTCTGAAGAGTGATAGAAATATAACTTTTCATAGCCTTTCTAAAACATTATTCACCAAACAGATGATGAGAATCAATCTGAAAATTGGCTGGAAAGTCATCATCACCTTGATATGACACTTAATCAAAACCATAACAAATTTCTCAAAAGTGATTGGTTATCACCAAAACCGATTTGAGCACTAATAGGACAGCATATGCATCATTCTTGTAACTGGAGAGTGTACTAGGACAGTTAACACGTCATATGCTTGTGTAAGTGGACAGAACCCATCATATGCATGTGGTGTTCTCACACATTTTGCCGAGTTAACTAGTGTTTATTTTTTTATGAAAACCTATAAATGATGTCTAGTTTCTTTCTTAGAATTTTCATAGCTTTGATAAACTAGTAACAGGACTTTGTGTCATCAAATTCTGTGTGTAATCATACTTGCGATGGATAAATTGGACTCTGGTCATGGTTGTCCGATTTTGTTAGTCACCAAATTGGCCATTTTACAGTTGTGTACTTAGTTGCCAAGGCTTTTGATTCAGAGTGAGGCTGAAGGTGACCTTGTTGTGATAAAGGCTGATAGTTTCGAAAGAAACTGTTTGGGGCTGCTTCAGTGGGGGTAACGAAATAATTTGGATATATCAACAAAGTTGAAATGATAAATTGGCCACCATAACGATTACAAAAGCTGACGTTTTGAGAGTTAGCCCTTCGTCGGAGCGAATAATATTTGCTCCGACGAAGGACTAACGCTCGAAACGTCAGCTTTTGTAATCGTTACGGTAGCCAATTTACCATTTCAACTTTGTTGATATATCCAATTATATTGTTGTGATAGAGACCTGTATCTACTTAGCATGATAACAAAGTGATTTACATTTGAAAGGCAGCAAGGTTTGTATCATAACAAGGTCAACCCTAGCCTCACTCCCATTTAAAGGCTTGGCAACCAAGCACACAACTGTAAAATGGACTATTGGAGTCCAATCAGTCCTATTACCACCATCAATAAATTATTCTATTCAACAACAATAATAATAATACTAATTGTCACTGCTAATCGGTGT